AGAGCCTTTGACTTTTTTATATACATTCAAATGCATATGCAAATGTCCAGGGAGAAAAAGCCAGCAGCTTTCCTCCATGGCCCACCCACAAAAAGTCAGACACAAACTTTCCTTTCCTTGTAGATTGGAGGAAATAGAAAGAAAGAGCTTAAGAATTTTCACTACTGTGAAGATTGAGGATGGAAGGGAACATTTAAAAAAGAGGAAAATTTTTACTTATTAAAATTTTTAAAATATTAATTGTTAGGATTATGAAAGAAGTGGTTGGGTTAGAAACCAAGACTTCTCACCTACTTAGCAAACCATATTCAATAAACACTAACAGAAAACTCTTCTGAAACATTCTGTAGCCATCAGTACTTTTGCCGTAGGGATATTTATTTACTATATTTACTTTTCACTGTGTTCAGATTTATGACTCACATTTTACCTGAGAGCTTCCTGAAGGAGCCATAACATTGGATAATTGTGATTTAATTGGGTATCCAAGGCATAAGCTCTTCCTCAGTAGTTCTCAGAACTTCTTCCTACTTTTCTAGTGGCCTAAAGAACTTTAAACACATCTGACAAAAGATATAATTTTCAGTGTCAGAAAAATACTTCAATGATGGAAAATCTACATAATCCACTATGTTATAACATGTTAATTACATATGAGAAATTATATATGTTGTAATACGTTAATTATATATAAGTAAGAGGACTTTTCAGAGATGTTGAATCATAGTTTAAATCTTTTAGGAAAATATGTTGCTCCATTTAAAAGCATGCTGAAGAGTGCTGTTCTCAGTGGGATCAACATTAGCAGCCAGATGATGGCAAGAGGTGAATTTCCCACTTTGGGTGCTGCCGAGTGGTAAATTGGCAAAAGCCTCTTTAAATTACTGAGACCGTCTCACACAGAAATGCACTAAATGCTATTTATGTGTCTTGGTAGCTTGCAAATTTAATGAGGCTGAAATCTGAAGAATAAAAATATTTCCACTACAAAAATGAAAAAATGTTGGAATGAAATCTTGGGACTGCATGTCTGAGATCCCAAGACCTAAACAGAATTTTTCTTTCATAACATCACACGGAGTGAAAATGAATCAACGTTCATTAGGGTCTGTGTTTATGAGACATCAAAGTCATCCCGACAGTCTCGCCATTCCACTTCTCCTGCTATCAGATGCGTAGACATAACATACTCTGCTTTCAGGAAGCCTGAAGCATCTTAAAAATTGTTGGTACTCTTTATGGAATGTGGATCGGATCGTTATTTGGCCCGAATACATAAACTATGAATTAAGTGTCATTTGAATGGAAAATTATTTGAAGAAAGTACACTATGATTCAGTTCTAATGAATGTTTTCATAAGTCTTTGCAAATGAATTCACCCAAGAAGTTCTCATAGAAGTGGGCCAAGAAATTATTCTTTCCTTTGATATTTTATCTAACAATTCTTGAAGCCAAGTAATTCACTAAAGCTAAGAAGTTTCCTTTTATCATCAAGTAGCATTCATAGAAATTTCCTGTGCTTGGTTACAATTTTACCTGATAGTCAAATAAATTTAAAATATTTTCCACCACCAAAAGCATATATCCCACAAAATTCAATGAGAACACTTGATAGAGGTTTAAAAAGACATTTATACCTTTACAACTTACCTCAAGGAACTAATGTAGACCTTATTTTCTTTATGAATGAGTTTGCCATCCAACAGTTATCTATGAAAACTTTCATACTCTGATTTATTGTTGGTAGTTTGTTATTTTTTTGGTTCAAGGTTATCATATTTTTTGATAAAGACCAATGGATCTTATATATAATAAAGGCTGAAAAACAATAAACAAAAAAGATGTGTGCATCCTTGATTCCTAGTATTCTGGATTCAGCTCAGAACTCTGTTGATGGTTATGTAACATTACCAAGGACAGATTTTTATACTGAGCCAGACTGTAAAGGACCTTCCTAGCTAATAAGAAAAGTAAGACTCATCCCAAAGGCAAAATCAGCAGTAAATATTTTTCAGAGGTGATTGCTCCTGTTTTAGGGAAAAAAATTGTGATAATTTTGAAAACAGAATTGGATCCAGAGTATTTAGTTTTAATTGCAGTGTCTCAACTGATAGACAATAAAAGAATGAATTTATCACAATGGCTTTATAGATAGACATATAAGAGTGAACTAAAAGCTCTGGGAATAATTGATACTAAATATTACTTTTTGATTAAATAAAAAGGGATGAGGCTTATGAATGCCATCAATCGCCCCAGCTTAGGAAGGAGAGTCAATGATTTTAAGAAACCAAAGAAAGTAAAGAATAATTCCAAGATGATGAGAAGTTCTGTTTTGGAGGTGCCTATAATTAAAGGTGATTACATCAAACAGGTAGTTGGCACCCTGAATTATGTGAAAGGAACCTGGATGATAGCAGGAAGCACTATTTCCTGTCTGTGTTCTGTCTCAGAAAGTTAATAGGGCAGCTTCCAGGCATGAATCAAATACCCCTAAAAAGGTGGACATATGCTCTCTAGATGCCCATGGGTCTCCTCCAAGTGTCAACTGGACCAGATCAGGTGTCACATTCAGGTCCACCTTGCCCTGTGCTTCATCTGGTTGTAAAAAGTTTGGAGTGCTCTGTAGTGATAGTTCCTCCATCAGTATCACCAGAGAGGCATGACTTTATGGAACAGACCAGAAAATATGCAAATGTGCTACTAAATTGAGAAAACCTTGCCCTCTTCATAGCATGGGCATCGTGGTCTGAGGTTTTAAACCTCTTGAATCCAGTGTGAGTAAATGAAAGAGTACTGAATTCGAACTGAAATATATTTGTTGCCAGCGATTGTACTAATCATCTTTGCTGTTAAAATCTTGTTTCCCACTATAGTTTCATCCTTTTGTGTGAACTTGCACTTACAGGCACATAGCTTTCTTTTTTTTGACTTAATCTTCACAATGATATTGGTATTCAATAACATTTTACAGTGTTGTTTTATAGATGCTAAAGCAAGTCAAAAGGTAGTAAGATGTTGGTAACTTCCAACAGGGAAATAGAACCAGTCAGTGATGAGGGTGGGATTTAAACCACCTGTGCCTTGTTTCTGTAATTCTCTAGTAGGAGAACACTAGGCTCTAATAAAGCCAGAGAAGTCGAAGGTGCATTCTGGGTCGACGTCATCAATCTGTAACACACATAGCTGTAGACGGAAAATTTTCACAGAAAACAAATAAATGACTTCTACAAATACTTTCCTTAAGGAAAATGTTTGTGTTTGGTTTGTGGGATGCAAAGTGTGGAAGTTTCTCAGCCTTGGAAAGAGGATTATCACAGGGCTTCCACCCTGGAAGATTCACTGCTGGAGGGGAGATGTAGAAAATCTTTAGCAAAGAGAAACGAAGGTAGACGGAAAGGTCACTCAGCAAATAATAAATGGCTGGAGTGAGAATGTGAGTGGGAAAGGCAAAGTGTAGACTGGGGTGGGAGGTGAGAGTACAGAAGGAGCCCCTGGCTCCTCACTCCTCCACACCTGGTGTGTGACGATTTATCTAAAATGCAGAGGAGGAAGGAGTGGGAGGGGAGGCCCATACTCCACAAGCAGTCCAGGGAAGACTGTGGATTTGATTCTTAAAGACTGGGCAAAAAGCTGAAATTTCAGTCCTCATTATGGTCAGGAAAATAGGCTCTAAAAGCAGGATGGGAACCCAGCAAGAAGAACACCCAGGAGATGTAGGACAGCCAGACGCTGGACCACGTCCACAGACTCATGATTAGTAACATGGATGGGCTGCTCTCCCTTGATTGCTCCATTGGATGAGATAGGTAGTAGGGAAGGGAACTTAGCTGCAGCAAAGCAATTCTTCTTTACAATGAGATCTATGCTATTAAAATTATTTTATAAGTAGGTGGAAAGTGGTGTCCTTACACCAGACAGTTTTGATCAAGTTGCGTCCGATTTCCACAAAACTGGAAATTCATTAGCAATGAGGAGGCTCATGCTTCACTCCAGACTTGATGTGCCAAGGATCCTCAACTCTTGTATTTTTAGTATCTTCATTGGTGAAACAGGGAAAATGTCTTCCATATAAGGTCACCATTAATATTAAATAAAATAATATCCCAAAGTGCTTAGTCGGGTACACAGCATAGTAGAAACCAAATAATCTATATAAATGTATTAATATCAGTAATAATAGCATATTTGTAGAACTATTTCTTAAAATGAACATAGAAAACACATAGGCAAGACTAGTTAAACCTGACTTTCAGGTTGGGCATCTTCATTTCCATGCCACACAGAATCAGACATGTGTACTACTGCTGGTTTGGAATACCTGCCTGTGCTTAAGGGAAAATGACCACGTAGATGGATCTACTTTGAATGGTGCCTCGGTTGGCTCCATTTTGCTGAGAGCTTGTTGCTACATGAGGGTTCTGAGTCATTCTCAGTGTCAGTGACTAAGAAAGGGAATTGTGAGCAGTGAAGTCAACTGTCAGATTAACACAGTTCTAATACATACTCCAAATATTATGCTAATGAAATAAAAATGCAGACCTGCCCCTAATTACTCAAACTATCTCTCTCTGGAACATGAAGGGGTTTATTTCGTTGCTTAGGTTTAATTTATTCTATTCTTAATCAGATTTGCAAATGGGTTCAAAAGGACCTTTAGGCCTGAAATATTTTAATCAACTGCAAGTTCTTTTTTCTTCTGGCATCAGTATTTTACAAAATTGCTCTACTCTGCCTCACTCATTTACCTTTGTCTCGTCTTCACCTTAATCATCCAAATAGAAATAATTTTGAATTCCAAAACCTCTATAGTAGATCGTATCTCTGATGAGAGTTTTGATTTTTATGACCTCACAAGAGAAAATTGGGCCACCATGACGACAAGAAGGTAGTGACAGAGATGACTGTCATGGTGATAATAACAATAACTGATTATGACCTCCAACATCTGAGCAGTGTTGGGTTCCATCTTTGGAATAACATTTTCACAGCTAGTTTTTATCTTTTCTGGAAACCCTTGCTCCTGATTGGCAGATACATATACAACTACCTAGCCAACATCCTTAACTTGGATGTCTGTGAGGCATCTAAAGTCTAACTTGTGCAGAGAATTGAAAACTGATGAAATACTGGCTTCCTTATGGTCCTTTCATCTTTGTAAGTGACACCTCCATTCTGAAATAACTTACAGCTATGCTTTCTTTGCATATCATGTCTGATTTGTCAGCAAATCCTGCCATCTGCCAGCCCAATGTTAGCGACCATGTTCTTTCCCACTGTACAACTCTGCCCTGCAGACGGGATCTCTACCACTCTCTCACGGCACTGAGATATCAAAATAGTTCTCTAATTTTGAGTTGCATGGAACTGACTAAAGAATGGAGGTGTCTCTATTAGTCACAGTTTAAAATGGAAAATGTCAGTTAGAATGTGCACACAAAGAATTTGCAATAAATAATAGGGCATAGAGAATGAACATGCAGTAATTTAGCTTTTGGGACCTTCCTTTGGACCCAGAAGGGTCCATGTGTGTCTTCGTGGGTGTGTGATAGCACATGCAAGTATGGAAGTATCCGCAGAGTTGTTAAATATCTGCTGCATCCCTGGTACAATGCATTCAGGGTATGGAGAGGCGAAGATAAGTACAGCAAATACTTCATCCTCAAGATTCTCCTATTCTGTTGGGGAAGTAAAAGAAGTAGTTTAAATAATCAGTGACTCAATTGACTGACCTAAGAAGAAAGTATTTTATTCATTAAGCTTATCGGTACATTTTAGGTATACAATATGATGACATTCATCACTGGGAACTTGCACCTTTACTGGATATATCTCGGTTCTTATTTTTTCCCCATTCCCTGTCCTCCCTTCAACCCCTCCACCCCTCCCTATTTACAAAGACTTGGTTTCCATTTTTTTTCCTTTTCTCATATTTATTCCTTTCCCTTCTTTCCTTTCCCCTCCCCCTCCCACTTCCTTCCCCTTTGGACTTTTTCCTATTTCACATTATCTGTTATACATTTTGATTCTCATTTACACTTTCAGTTTCTGACACCAGAGAAATGATTCCGTAATTACACGTGTGTAGTATTTATTTCACCTTAGAGTATGGGCTCAGTGTGCATTCATTTAGCTATAAATGTCTCCAGTTTCTGACCTTATGGTAACTAGAATCTCAGAGCACTATTTACCTAGAGGGAGCAATCCAAATGCATAAGGATGTAAACACAACACATATGGTAAGTTTCCAAACTCAAACCTACAAGCAGGGCCAAACATCATAGGGCTTGTAATTTACCAAATTCCATAATTATTCCTGTTAAGAGAACCAAAAAGAGAGTTTTCTAAATGGCCTAAGAATTCTTTCTTCAATTCTCCACATGCAGGAGGTAGTAATGTTGTGCTTTAAAATATGAACTCCTGGAAAAAGGGTTTCCAGAATCAGGGGAGGGGTGACATCTTCTATCAGGCTTATTTCTGGGGCGGGGGACTGCTGTGTGTGTGCCTGGGTGTTCACCCTGTCAGGACATCTGCTTTGCACTGGGTTGTTCCAGTAAATCAAGGGAGCTACCGAGTGACATGACACGGCCCTGGAACACTGGGATCCTTACAAGTTCAGTTCAGGAATGGTAGGAGAGATGGAGGACCAACACACTGCCAAGCTTTGGAAGTCTTTCTTAGGCACCAAGTTAGATTCAAAATAAATTTATTACCACTGACAGGAAGAAAATTCTTCTACTGAAACTCGGTCATCATGGACGCTAATCATAGCCATAACCAAAAGTCCTTCTTTAAGGTAAATAATGATTTGTCTATTTGTTTTTATTCACAAATATTTGTAGAAGGCCTACTATGTGGTAGATCCTCCAAAGGGGTACATGAATGAAAAAGTTTGACTCCAGTCTGGAAAAAGTGAATAGATTGGTGAAAAGCCCACTACATACTCTCCAACAACACAGGCAGTAGTTGGGTAGATGTAGGTAAAATACAGCATAGTTGTTTGGTCTCCATGATACAGTGAAGCTGAAATTCAAAACTGGAAAACAGTGAACAAATCAATAAGTGATGGAGCAGGTGACCCAGCTGGAGAGAACAGTAGTTCTCCAGGCAGAGAGCACTGAGAATGTGCTGAGAGCGTAACTCTCCATCCTAACATCTGGCGCTCCTTTCTTACTCTTGCTTAATTATGGCTTTTAAACAGAAACTTTGGCCATTAGGCAGCCAAAATGATTTGTCATGCTGAACAGAAGGGAAGGAGTTCTCAGTCCCTGGCTGTGTGGATGAAGTTACAGTTCAGTGGTGAACACCGTTTTTCCAAGGTAGGTATTGCAGGAGACAATATTTCTACGAAGAATGATTTTCCTTAATTTTGTGGGTGATTGAATCTAATAGATATAAAAGAATAATACTGATTCAAATCAAGTGTCTTAATACATTATGTATAATCTATTAATTTTTACTTATATGTCACAAAAAATGATTTCAGGGTTGCCTGATATCAACAACTGCTACTCTGGAGATAGCAAGATAAATAACATGCATCATTACCCTCTACCTAATGAGATTTGCAGGTACATCCAAACAAGTACGAATAAGTAATTGTGAACAGCATTTGAACAGAAATAAGTGGCTCATATAAGTATAAACAAATGTGACCAAATAAGAGTGGATAAATATGCGAGGATCTAGTGAAATCAGACCTGGCTTTTGAATAATGAGAAAACAGTGCAGAAATTTGTTCTAGGACAGCAAAAAGGTTTAAACAAAGAAAGATGGTGTAGCATGTCAGGGATTTAGAATGCTTGGGAAGTCCCATATATAATGTGGTGTGGTACAGTAGCAGAAAGGCTGGTATGACTTCAACAAATTTATTTACATTTTGAGCATTTGGTGTTTTCTTTTTCTTCTCTAACAACCTACTCTAAGACAGGTAGCATGATAACATTGTAGTTGGCTGTATATGGTTCTGAGATCCTCACCATATGACAAAGAAGGGATGCTTTTTGGTATAGTTAAACATCTGCTGTTGAGAAGAAGGTTGACAAGTGTGTCAAAATGTGCTGCTGAGGGTTAGTTAGTGCATTGTAGCAGTGTTAATTAAGGTATGATTAAAAGGCTGACTGTTGCCATTCATATTCCTAGAATTTACACACACACTTCATTAATCTTTGCCCTCCCTGTGGAATGAGCCACTGCACCTGTTCATCTTTGAGAGCAAGAACAGTGCCTGCCAGATAGCTGATGTGCGACTCTCACCAGGCAAGGACGATGTATGGCAGATCAAAGAAAAAGCACATTGGCATCTGATGGAGGTTTTCCTTCTCCATCATTTTGGTGATGTACTTGGGCCTTTTTTATGGCTTACCAGAGGTGAATTGTAAGATATATGCATCAAATTCCTTCTACCCATGATGCCAACATCAACATCCAACACTCATTTTGTGTTCAAAATGTCTACACCTTATGTCCCAAGGTGTAGACCTTAAACTATGTGACCATACTGTATGTTTAGGCAGACTGCTCCTATTTCACACCGTGCAGATATGGCTGATCACAGGGCAGATGAGACAGAGAACACAGTATATTTACTGTGTGATGAAGTACAGCATCAGGTGCAGAGCATTATTTGTAGGCATGGGAGAGAGGATCTACCTAGAAATCTAGAGTAAGATTGTCAGAGCTTTGGGGGACAAATAAATAGGTTCTAATAATGGCTGTCATTTATGAAAATCCTGTTCCACCAGCTGTAGCTATATTAATTCATGCAATGCCTGTCAACATTTATTTGAGCTTGAATGATCCCCAATTTGTAGTTGAAAACTCAAAATTCCAGTGTTCATGTTAGTTGCCCACTAGCCCACAGCTAGAGACAGAACTGGATCCAATTGTTGGTAGATTCACCTCTGCAGACTCTTAAACACCATCTTGAATTGTTTATATTTTGGGTTGCATCTGGCTAACAAAGGAGAATTCCGACCCTGACTTTCAGTTAAGATGACTGACTGGATGTATGGGGACTGTAAATACTGGTCTTATGGATCAGGGTATTGGAAAACTGTTTCTAGAGGAATGGATTTGCAGGTAGATTGGAGGTTAAGGGAGGAGCACTTGTCATTCTTGAAGGGTTCATGGCAGAAATACTTGAGTTCCCCAATGTTCAAAGCCTGGCCATCCATTTTTTCTGTTCAAAGCCTGGCCATCCATTTTGTCTGTTCAAAAGTGCCCACTCTTTTGAGGTAAGAAGGAATAACTGTGAAGGAAATCCTGAGAGACAATAGTGTACATTCAATAATACGCAATGTTAAATGCAACTACACACCTTATCAGAATGTTTATTTCAGCTGAGCTCCATCTTCTTGTTCTGTAGAATATAATATAAGAAAACAAATTGTAGTCAGAACCCTGCTTAGTGAGCAAAGGTTGAGGTAAAGTCGTTGAATGAAGGTATCCATCTTCTTTGTAGGATTCTACCTTCCAAGAAGATAGACTGCAAGTGGTCAGGACCTATGACCTCTCAGGAAACAATAGGAAACACACTGACAGTTGCTTCATTATTAACCTTTTAAAAAAATTTTATTCTGGGCTTTGAATTGGTCACTGTGTTCTTTCGAAAGTTCAGGTTTCAGAAATACCCTCCAACTCTACTTGCATGTTGTTGGAGTTATTCTCCATCATGATTGTGCCCAAATGGCTGCACATTTTCTGTTCATTGTTAAGTGAATTCCTTCCACAGGTGTCAAGCTCCATGGGATTTTGGCTATTTTTAAACGTGATCTCTTAGAAGTGATCTCAGTGTTGTTTACCACTTCTGAGTTTTCAACATATTAAAAAATACTTCTGTGTGTGCTGCCATTATATGAGGTAGGCAGGGGCGTCAAGATCTTCAAAATGCTCCTGACTGATGTCTAGGAATCCTCTCTTGCTAGTTTAGCTCTATTTACTACTTACATAAATAGGTGACAATTGCTGAGTCAAAGGAATGTCTCCTGAAATAATGACTTTTTTTTCAAATTTCTCTGAGATTTTACAATTTGAAAATCCATTTATAGTAAAAGTCTTTCCTCATACTGTAGTTGAATATTGGCATAAATGGAAGGTCTCATTAACCTGTGATAGTAGCTTCCATAACCCACCTTCACCTTCTCATTAATGATATAATGCCCATAAAGAAAGAGAGTAATTGCATGTGAGAGGGTAATAATATATGTTTTTCTTGTATCAGAGTGGATCTTTAAAGATACAATTTTTAAGAACCTCTGGGTTAATAATTCACAAAAATCATTGATAATCCCCTAACTTCGAAAGCAAAATACTGAAGATTATAATGCATTATGCCAAAAGTTTCTGTTATATCATAAAATACTATCTGTGTGAGTTAAGGCTGATCTAAAACTGTGGAGATAAAGAGAAATCGTTAACAGTGACCATGAAAATAATGTAAACCTCATACTTGTTCAGTTTTAGCCCAGGGTTTTAAAGAAAATTTTGTGATCCTTCCTTCTCATGCTGCCTCTCATTACAATTTTTATGGTAATCGAAACAACTTACCAAAGTAAGTTTCAGAAAGATTTCCCATGTTTACAACATACATATATCCTCTTCTTCTTATGTTTATGAGCCTTCCATACATCACCACAATTACATAACATATGGCAATAACAAAATTTCAAAAGCCCGTATGGGGTGAAAAGAAATCCAAGATTACTTCAAGTCAGAACAGGAAAAACCGCCACCAAACCCAACTGCTGTGTTTTGCGTGTGGCCCCAGGTCCCACATGTGCGCGTGGCTGCCCTTGCGAGGCAGCTCGTGGCCCACTGAGAGTGGTGGGTCTGGTCTTTGCCCTCAGCAATTTGGCGGTGCCATCTTGCAGGACTGGATGACTTTCCCCTTCGTGTAGTGGATGACTTGCCTTAAGAGCAGATGGTAGTAGGGCAAGCCAAGGTCTCCCTTCCTACTCTCTGTCACTTCGTGTGCTTCCTGTCCCATTTCTCTCCTAACAGTTGAAAAAGTGCATGGCCAGAGGCATTTACCAAATCTTAAACCATTCATCCTCCAGATGCATAAGCCAAACTAATCCTCTGTTCTTTATAAGTTACTCAGTCTTCGATGTCCTGCTGTAACAACAGAAAATGAGCCAAGATGATTCAGAATGCTGCTGTGATAACACAGTGGTACTTTGTTGGGAGTCACAGCATAAAGTTCGAAGGACAGCAACAAGCCCCAGCTAAGAGGGTCCACAGAATCCATGCCAGTTCACCTTACCATCTAAAGAATTTCCTCAATTGTTGTCAACTTGGACTAGGTGAGAGAGGATGTCCATCAATGTAAACTAATACAATGAAATAATTTTTCATAATTTACTTAAAAATTCTGATGTCAGTGTCAACAGCACAGCACCTCTGTGCTCCCAGGAAGCTATATCTCAGGCTAAAGTAGACTTCTCACAGCTTAGACACATTTTCACCTGATCGATCCAAATGGAAATAAATGCAGCACATCACATCTCTATTCAATAGCTATGACAACCCCTCAGATGTCATCTCTGGCTGTTTTCAAGTAGGATATGAAAAAAATTTCTGAAAGGAATATTTCAGACTATTGGAGTAATTGGTGATTTTATCAGGCCCAAGTTCCCCAGTAGAGCTATTAAACTTTGGGGACAAACACAGGTTCTGTAGTGTGTCAGAGGATGCATAGAAACACTTCTCATACTACTACTCTTCCTCCACACTGGGAAACCAAAAGAGACTCTAGACATGGTCAAATGTCCTCTGAAGAGCAAACATTGTTAATCCTCCTTTGAGAGCCCTGAATTTTTTTTTTCAAAAGACTACTCAGTCTCAGTTGTTAAGGGGGTCTTCACAGGCCAGACAAGGACTTTGTGTAATTTATCTGTTGGATACATCCAATATGTGACTGTATTCATTAAAATGTGGGTTAGGGTTGTCATCAGGCCGATTTTAGAGTTGAAATAAGGGTTGTTGCTCTGACAGACTTTTCACTGGGATCCTGCAGAGGACCAAGGATGGTAATACTGATTATGCCCAAAGTAGGCTGTGAAGAGTTAACCTCATGACTGCTTGTTTATGGAAATGAGTCTGGCTGAAGTCTACATGCCGAGGTCAGAGTAACTCACACCCAAATTCCGTTCCTACAACTAAAACCTTCTAACTAGAATGACAGTGTTCGAATTACAACCATAGATTTTGTCTATTCTGTTCCTAATTTGAGAACGCTTTGTCTTGTCCTTTCTGAGCCTTGTTTATATTAATTTCCATAGAAACTGCATGAAGCCCTACCCTTGCATGTAGCTCGTCTTTACTTTAGTTGATTGCCAATAATAGTCAGTGCCTGGGACTGTCCAAGGCCTTTGTTGGTTGCACAGCATGGTCGTCCTGGTGCCCACTTTCTCTCTCCTAGTTCTGTCTCTTAGTGTATTTATTTCTCAGCCTTGCATCTGTCATCTACTGGGCAGGACGCTGGAACCTAATTGCAGGGGTCTCTGATAGGGTCCTCCAGAGAAGATATGGAAACTAGGAAGCTGAGCAACTTCCAACACATCTTAACATACAGACCACAGTTACTTGCCAGCTTTCTGCCAGGAAAAAATAAAAGAAATTATGCCAAGGGGTTCAAGAAGTGAAACGCAAGTCCACACTTAGGGTTGTACAGTTGTCCCCAGACACATGCAAACGCACCCTTACATCTCCTCAGTGATGGGCTACCTTAATTACCTCCTCTCTCCTCAGTGAAAATGTTTTTCTGCATTAAGAAATAAAAGACATACCACTATCTTATTTGAAGAAGTAAGGGAGGCCAACATTTGTTGAGGCCCTACTGTATTATATGGTTTTAATATATTTTTTAATCTTCACATCAATGATGGCAAATCACTATTATTCCAGTTCCATTAAAAGATGGGGAAATTTAGATTTTATAAGTTTAAGTGAAGTGACCAAGATGAGACTTAGTAAGTGGCTAAAGTATGAATCAAGCTTAGGTCTAACTCTGAAGTCAGCATTCTCTTTCCTCAATCTTGTGGAATCTGTTTTTTTCAAAAAGTCCAAAACAAAAAGAAAATGCCAAAAGCATTTCTTGGTGAGTCTCATTTGTGAAGAAAAATACTATCTGAGATAAAATCAAAATCATTTTGCTTATAAAAAATAGTTCTTAAAAATATAAAAAGAACATTTATAGGTCTAAGTGATATGATAATGAACACAAGAAAATGAATTCTTAGCCAAAATATGTGCTCCTGGAAAATAAAAAAGGAACATAACCAAAAGGCATTGAAACTAAATCACTTCCTGAGCCATAATGAGCTTAGGTTTTTAATCAGACTAATGAGAAAAGATCTGTAATTCAGCACTGCTCATGAGTCATACCATAAAGTTTCTCCCTACAGCTTCATGGCAGGCCTTGATGTATCATTCATTAGGGTACTGGAAAAGTAACATTTTCAAGAACACAATGAACTGCAGATAGACAGGAAAAACAATGAGAAAGCAGCCCTGGTCCTCCCTTCCAAGCTGCCCTTCGCCGCTCTGCCTCTGTGCTCTCTCCTTCATCTCCACGCCCTGGTGCCACCTCCAGTCCTCATCAGTGATGAATCATTGGTGGGCTAGAGAACCTTGTTCCTCAAGAGCCATGCAATCAAAGCTCAGATGTGAGGAAACTCCACTGAGGGCAAAAACACATAATCAACTCATGCTTACGTATTCTGCTCCCCTCCCCAGGATATCAAGAACACAGATTTTAAAAATTTATTGAAATCCCTATTTCCCAGGTCCAGGCTGACCTCAAACATTCTAAGAATGTATTATCATATGTGAATGGAGAATATGGTGGTAGAGGTCAAGATGTGAATTTTCACATGCTTTGGGTTGTGGTATATTTATGAAGAAGATGCAAATAGGCACTGAAGACAAGACTGGTAGTACACCCAGAAGACCACCTGGGAGAGAGCCAATAGATTGGGAGGTAATTTAGAAATGACAGAGAAGTATAACAGGACACATACAGAGCATGGCTTTGGGAGATACAATGTGCTATCTGGCATCCACGATTTAGCTAAGTTGAGTTAGAAGCAAGTTGACTTTCCCTAACCTCAATTTCCTTATCTTCACATGGGAATAATAAGAATACTGCATCACAGATTTCTTTAAACAATAAAATGAAATAATATGCCTGAAAAATGCAATTTTTTTATTGTATGATTTATATTTATAGCTACTATCTTAGCATTAAGTCATATTGGATATGCTTTTATGATAAAATCCTTGCCAAGTCTTCTCTTCATAGACACTTGGTTTTTCTATCAATTTACATATAGTCTTTTAAAGCCAGGAAAGGAAAGGTCATTTCATTCCTATCTGTGTAATTCCAGAAGAAATCCCCACTTTCATGTGGAATGCACTTTTCCGACTTCTAGACCAATTTTCTCCTAGACAAGCCTAGACAAAATATAACTGATATTTATCATTATCTGCCTTGAACACAAGCCTTCTTTCTTTTTTAAAATTCTTCTCTCTCTCTCTCTCTCTCCCTCCCTCTCTCTCTCCTTTCCAAATTCTTCTTTAGACTGATGATGCTCTATTCCTTGGAACCCTCCTCCAAGGGGTAGGTGTAGCTGTAATTACAGTGATGACCACTAGGGGGCAGCAGAAGGCAAAGGAGCATTTCCCATTCTCGAGGAGATGAGTGGCGAGCTCTGCTATAGCCAGAGCCTGGGCCACCTGCCCCACCAAGGGGCCCACAGCCCCCAAGCTGTCTCGCAACCCGGAAAACAGCATGAGGCAGTGGAAAGAAAATACTCATACAAGGAAAACTGATTTTGACTCATTTTTCTCCAATGTGACCTGTCTCTCTGGGCCTTGGATTCCATTATGGAAAACATTAAAATCATGATATCATGAAAATAATATTGTGAAACTGCCTTCACATGAAAACAGAAAACACGGTAGCTGAGTCATTAAAAAGCATTCAATAAACATTTCCCTTTCCTGCTTTTCTTTAAAAATTAATTTTTTTACAATTGCACTTGTATTGATTTTCCCACTCTACAGTCCAGCCTAGCTTCACTGTAGGGCTGACCCCAAACACTCAGCTGGCTTACCAGCTGCCAACTGCCCAGTCCACCCTTTCTCCTGTTCCTTCCCTCACAGACTCTGAAGCTTCTCTGTAGCTAACCTTGACTGATGTTGGCTTTTGGGCAATAGCCAGTGAGGAACTGAGGCTGTCTGTCCAGTGGTGTCGTGGAACAGAATCTTCCTCACAGCCAACCAAAGAAGGGAGCTTGCAAGCATATTTCTCCCCAGTAGAGCCTCCACTGACACTGATTTCAGCCTGGGAGGGATTTTTGCAGAAATTATAGATTGTAATGAATCTTGAGCTGCTGCAATTTGGGGTAGTTCATTGAACATAACAGAAAACTAATGGAAGCATTAACGATGATCAGCATTTCCATGAGAGGCACTTCATGCAGGGCCTTCAAGCCCACACCAAAGACAACTGGATTTTGCCCTAAAGCCAATGGGAAGCCAGTGGGGGCACTTCAGCTTTGGAAATCCGTGTTCTCTGTTATAGTTTAGAAAAATTTTGCTGCCTGATTTGAGGTGATTGGACCATATAGGACTGTTTCCATGGCATAAAGTATGTCTTAACAAAATGAAAAATGTTTCATTTTATCTTCAGATGGAACTGTGATACAGAGCATGGGAGCCCTGATGGTCCTGTCAATATTTTCTTCCCTAATGCACACAGTTCTAGGTTCCACAGATCCATGTGCAGCAATTCACAACCACCTCATCAGCAGAAGGCTTGAGCTGGACCTTCCTTCAGAAGTGGAAGTGAGCAACTCCACCTGCTCCTGTGACCAGAGTACAGTGAACACAGTGCTGATGAGAAAAGATTACCTTGCCACATGCAAACCTTAGTGCTGAGAGCAAGATAAAGACAGGACCTGTGCAGAAAACCTGGGCCAACTGCACTTTCATCAAATGTCCTGCACACGGGAGTAGCGGTGCTATGAAAGCTTTGCCTAAAGCCACTCTGTGACACCCATTCATGTGCTGTCTCCCATGTGCTTGACTTCAGCCCTATTAAAACTTCTTGGAGATGGAATTGTGTACTGCTTCATAATTTCTTTCTCAGTTTGGGCTAAAGTACCCTGGCCTGACTCATAACAGGAGTACTTTCTGCCTCTCATTTTAACAGCACAGGCTTGGTTCCCTGTGGAATCATCTATCACACACAAAAATTCAAGTTTTGAGGTAAATGTAATTTCATTTGAGGTTGTAAGAAGTAACATAGAGTGATCTCATATATACTTCATCTAATTTCCTCTGATGAAAATAGAGTGCATAATATTAAGACATTATCACATCAGGAAAGTGGTATTAATGCCATCCTCTGAACTTACTCTGATTTCACGAGATTCACATGCATTTACTGGAGTTTGTGCATTTAGCTCCATACAACTTCTTTCATGTTTACATTCATGAAGTGATCACCACTGTGAAGATAAAGAATAGTTTCATCAAGAGAATCCACTACAATATACTTTTGTAGCTGTGTCCAGCTATCTTCTCCCTCTTCCATCCACTGTCACCAGCAAACACTATCTATTCTACTTTACAATTTTGTCCTTTTATTCATGTTATATAACTGGAATCATATGATAGGTAATTATTTGGAGTTAGCTCTTTTTCCCACTCAACAACTCCTCCAAATCCTTTAACGTTACTATAATATCAACAATCTATTCCTCTTTGTTGTCCAATAGAATTCCATGGTATGGATGTGTCATGATTTAACCATGCACACATTGAGAGGTATCTTGATTATTTTCAGGTTTTGGCTTTTATGAATAAAACCAGTATAAATATTCCTGCATCAAATTTTGTGAGTATGAATTTTCATGTCCCTGGGATAAATATTGCAATGTACAATTGCTGAGTTTTATGGTAGTCACATATTTAGTTTTATAACAGACTGTCAAATAATTTCCCAAAATGGATACTCCATGTCACATTCTCACCAGCAATATACAATACAGTTTTCCTGTATCGTCACCAGCACTTGTTGTTATTCTATTTTATTTTTACCCTTTGGGTAAATATATTGTGTTTTATTGTTGTGGCTTTAATCTAAATTTTCCTAATGCTTATGAAGTTGAACATCATTTCACGTGCTTCTTGGATACTTGATGAAGTCCTCAGTGAAATATTTGTAGGCCCCCCCATTACACAGTTGCTTAGAAATTTCTTGTTAGTGTTTTCATGCTTATTATATTTTCTTACACCCAATTAATTTTTCACATACCATACAGGATTTGATAATATTTTACCCATGCGAGGCATCCATGTTCTTAGAAAGTTCTTTCACAGGGTAAATTTTATAATTTTGACAATGTCTGGATGAATAGTTTTGCCTTCCATTAGAAACATTTTATTGTGAAATCTAAGAGCTCCTTGCTTAGCTTAAGATACCAAATGTTCTGTCATTGTTTTTCTTTTCTAACAATTTTTTTTATTTCACATTTTACATTTAAGTCCATTATCCACTGTGGGTTAATTTTTATGTCAAGTGTAAGGTTTAGGATAAAATTCAGTTTTGCCTGTGAATATCCAGTTGCTTTAGCCAATATCTTGTGCTGAGAAGTCTGTCTTCAGTTGAACCTTTAGCATCTCTCTTAAGAAATTATTCTGTAGACATCTATGGTTTATTAAAATATGAAGTTAGATTTCTATCTCACACTGTATGCAAAAATTAATTCAAAATGGATGATATACCTGAATATAAGTTAAGACGTGGGATCAATACTTACTTAACCTGATTATTTTTGAGTATTAAATAAAATATATTTTTAAAATGTTTTATCTATCTTCTTTCTATAAGCAAATATTAAGAGTGTTACCATGATGTGGGACAACTTTTCTTGTTTCATATTGTGTATTTCCCCTGAATCTCCTAGTAAGGAAACAAATCATTAAAATTCAGAACATTAAGATTGCTACCTAGATCATATTGTTAAAATATCACTTGGGAATTAAATGGCACATTCCTCAATGTCATAATTATTTGGGTAGCTGTTTCCTGTATCATTTCCTTTTGGGATCGCAGCATTTGGCAAAAGCCTAGTCCCTCATACCTTTTAGTTGCATTGCTGACACTTCCAGTTTTTACTCTGCATGCATGATATGATGGAAATTGTTAATCAACTTGGGACAGCTTCACAGCATCATTAGAAAATATTTCTACTGAAACTTGCTATTAAAAAGATGCACAGCAGCAGGGTCATCAGCTACCATATTAGGTGTGCAGAGTTTCTAGTGCACCCTGGACCTACTTAATCAAAAGCTGCATATCAGCTAAGTCTCTGCTAATTCTTACTAAATTAGAGTTCTGAAATACTCGAATACAAAACTAGATCCATAGAATCATTAACTTTTATACAGCAGGGGCAATAGTAGTAAAGATTCTATGGCTCAAAGTTTAGAAGACACCAGGCTAAAACTTTTTAAGTGAGTTTTGCTGCTGTTATTTTTCCTTCAGATTTCTCAGATGGACTGATCTAATGTGTATTACCAGTCCCTGATGAATGGTTGTACCAAGCTCCATCTTCCAAATGTACTTGGCTCTGCATTCCTTTTTTAACAGAATAACATTCTACAGAATACCTTTAGGAGATATTCATTTAATTAATTTTTTTGATTAGACAGAATCATGAGTAAAAGTGAAATTTATACTTCTGATGACTGCCACATAATCTAGATTATGTCATGGGTAGCAGGTTGGACAATTTACTTAAAATCATGATTTTTGGCTATGGGTGCATTCTATACATCTCTATTTTTTAAATTCATCAGTCTGTGGTTTTTTGAGCTCATGGTCATTACCGGTGCTATGGCCCTAGCTTTCTGGATAGTGGACTGTAGTAGAAATCTTGGCTTGTATGAGGAAATCATCTTTCTAAAGCTTTATCAGCAATGTGTGATTTGGAGCAAGTGTCTCTCTGAACTTGTTAACTAATGAGAAAAGAATGCTGACAGAGGAATAATTAAAAGGTTGTTGGACAAGACATGGAGAGATGCTGTATTTATTAGTCCTGGTATGGTTACTAACTAGCTGTCTAATTTTGGCCCAGCCACTAAATTTCCAAGATCCTCAGCTTCTTCCAAGATGTGAAGAAAGTCGGCATGTAATAGTCATTGTGAGTATGATTTAGGAATTAAAAAGACTTAGAACTGAATCCTGGTTATATTACTTATTCTGTGACCTTGGACAAGTTACTTGATCTCCTTACACTGGTGTTCGTGAATGGTCTTTGTCAGGATTAAGTCAGACACTGCATATCAAGGTGTCTACTGCACTCAGGAGCTGATCGTCATTGTCACTTGGAGATTGAATTCTCAGTCAATGAAACTGTCTGGTCTAGATTTGAACTGCCATGGTTCTAACTCCATACTCAACCCTTATCCATCATGTGTTAGCCACTTAACCTGGGTCAAATAACTCAAACACTCTGAGCCTCAGTTCTTTAATCTGCAAAATGGAGCTAATAAACTGTCCATGGCTTTAAATTGCTGTGGAGAATTAACTAACACATAAAAGTAAAGATTCAGTGTACAACCAGCCACCTATTAAGCTGTAAATGTCAGGGATAATCTTTATTAAAGCCATTAAGTAAAATTAAGCAATTTCTATAGTCCAAAACATTAAGTTTATAATATAGTTACTGTGCTGCAAAACTTTAGATGTGAATATTAATACACTTTTGCTGCTTAGTAGATGAAGAAAAAAATAGAAAGTCACAGGTGCTCAAATGAAGAGTATACAACTTTTAACAGTTTCTACTATGTGCCAGATGCAGTGACAATCATTGTAGAAGCCGTAATAGACAAGTATGTTTTAGCAATAAACCTGGGACTGACACCCCTGCTAGTCACTGACCATAATGTTTCCTGGGGACTATGTTTCTCAAGCTGAAATCCCAGTTTCCCATTTCTGTTAGGCAGGTTATTCTGTCTTGATGGAGAAACATATGTCCATGTGGAGCCAGGGTGGTCTCAGGGTTAGATCCATTGCTATTCACTGGTGACAAGGCCACAAGAGTCAGAGGGAGTTCCCAGAGGCAGAGCGCCACTTCTCCCTTTCAGGAAAAATAGTCTGTCTTTTCTGGCATAGAATTATTTATTTCAATATGACAGTCACACTGAACCTCTTTCCTTCAGATTGATCACTTCTTCTTATTTTTATTGGAACTTTTAATTTTAAAATTGAACGATGCCCCTTTTTAGGGTTAAATGTAGTAATCTTAAAATACAGCAGACTTGGAACTGGTTAGTATTTTCTCTTTTATCTCTAAGCTTCAAAAAGTCAGAGTGTATCCGTTATGTATCATTTTTGCCTAATTTCTATAACAGTATCTGATATTAATGTGTGTATACCAAGATGGAATTAATGCCCAAGATAGAGGACTAATGTTTAGTATATATAAATTATACTCCCCAAAGTAAAAATCTCAATCAAAAAATGGGCAATTGAAATGAATAGACACTTCTCAGATGACCAACATGTACATGAAAAGATATTCTCCATCTTCGGCCACTAGAGAATTGCAAATCAAAATAACTGAAATTCTGCTACCCCAGGAAGAGTGTCTATCATCAATGACTCAAACACAACAAATACTGGTAAGCTTGTTGGGAAAAAGGACTTCTACACTGATTGGCAAACTAGTAAGTAAACTAGTTAAAGCACTATGGAAATAAGAATGGAGAGTCTAAATAAAAAACAAAACCTAAAAGTTTAAATTCAATTTCACCTATTTACACTTCTGGGTATTTTCCTCCAAAATGTAAAGGCATATTACAGTGATATATGCAAACCCATGTTTATAGCAGCAAAACTCACAATAGCTACATTGTGAAGGCAGCCTATCAACAGATGAATAGGTAAAGAAAATATGATATTTGTATACAAAGTAATACTATGCAGCCTTAAAGCAAGATAGAGTCCAATCATTTTAAGGAAAATTGATGGATGCTGATACCACAGTGTTAAGTGAAATAAATCAGACATGGGAGT